CTTTAGGAAGTTCATCCGGTTCAAAAAAGAAATCTTCAATATTTTGTTCATTAACATCTGAAAAATTTTCCATGGTTTGCAATCGCCCAAGCAATTCATGAGCAAAATAAGTACGACTAGCTTGTAATATTTGCATTGCTCGACGAGAACTAGCGTATAAGGAAGTGTTAAAAGTTGCATGTTGTAATGCGTCATACAATGTAAATGGATATAACATGCATAATCGCGATTGATATGGCATGCTAATTTGATGTATTTGACGCATAGGCTTAACGATCAATATTATCCGAATAAAGGGTCTAATAGTATTAGTATTGCTCAAAGGAGAAGTCGTTAATCCTATAGTTTCTTCACAAACAGAAGTTGCGGCTCCTGTTGAAGTAGAAGTTTTAACATTTGATCCCGCTTCCTCATCTTCAGATTCTGGATTACTTTTATCAAACGCTATAATTCCTTTCTCTTTCTCCATGAATTCATTATGACTATCATTCGCTTTGTCACTATTGTCATCAATGCTAGCGCTAATACTATCATTATCATCATTATCACCATCATCGCCATCATCATTATTTTCGATTTTCTCGTAAAAATCGTCATGACCTCGCTGAATTCGAAGTGAACTTAACGATGGATTCGATTTCATTTCTTCTTGGTATGAAATCATTGATTCAAATGTTTTATGAGATCCGCCTGATGTTCCTCGTGATGGATGTGATTTATAAGAGTGTTTTCGGTCATCGTATTGTTGTTTACTATTAAGTTTATTAAAAATAATATTTTTAGCTCCGGACTTATCCAAGTATAAGTCAGTTTGAAGCGAAATTCCACAATGATCAACTACATTATCTTCAAGTTCACTTGTCATGGTATATAATTGATTTGTTCGTAAATCCAAATAAATATCCACGGTTTGCTCGCAATATATATCACTTACTTCCCATGTAAGGCCAGTATCACGTTGCAACTTATCATAAGATTGCATAAAGGAAGTTTGAAATTGACCTAAAGCAGTTCTATTATCATCATTTTTAGTTGCCATGACTAAATCCATAAAACAATCTTGGCTAAGGCAAGTCAAAGATTTAACCCAACTTGTTTCCTCAGCAGTAATCATTGCTTCATCACGAATTTTCCCTAAAGGAATAAATTGTTTTCGATCTTTTGGTACTAAAATTTTGATACTTTGTAAAGTACTTTCAGTATATAAAACACCTAGATAAAGACCAGGGGACAATTTAGTTTGCCTACAACACCATTTTTCAATGAAAGTTGACCATATCGGATGAGAATCTTTATGATAAATATTATTTATTTCATCAAAATTTTTCCATTTTAGAGTTCCAGCTTTTACAAGATCGTGTGCGATTTCTTCCTTTATACAGCTTGGAACATATTGAAGAGCAACTATGAATTTTGACTTTGATGAATGCATGGTTACAACATGTTCATATATAATGCCTAATGACTCAAGAGACAACTCGCTCTTTAGTTTAAGGGCAGCATGACCAAACGCATTTGTCCATATTGTTTCATCATTTATGTATTGACTAAATGACATAGTATTTGACCCTTCAGGCAAATCACACGTACTCGAATTTGAATGCGCAGAGTGAAATGAATCCGAATCACTTGATGAGTCATTATAAACCTCCTTGGAAGTTGACCAGTCTAATGAAGATCTTATCACATGAGCAAATTCTTCACTATCATCCTCAAAATTACCGAAAATTTTTTCGTCACGTATAACTTCAATAGTAGGAAACATTTTACTACTACCAGAAGTTATTAATATTTTATTATCACAAGTGAACAATATTGTGGTCAAGTAAATAGTTTCTGCTTGAAAACGTGTCTTTAATGATGTTTTAACGCTTTTAGTACCGCCAAAGACACCCTTTCGTTTTGCTTGTGCAGCTAAATTCGGATTCAACGTTGTTGGTAAATTTCGCTAATATGTATATAAATTATTTATCACCAGTAAATTAATAGATATTAATAGATTTTACAGAAAAGAAAAAAGATAAAACCTTTTTTGGATTTTCTTCATTAAACACGAGTTCAAGGTATTCAGAAGTTTTTTTGCGAACTATTAAAGTATCCTAAAGCAAAAAAAATAGTAGATAACAATAGAAAATAAATAGAAAAGAAATGATAAGAAATGGATCAAAGATACAGACGGACAGACGGATATGACAAACCTCTTCAGGATAAGATGATAGTAAAAGTGAATCATATAGCCATGTCTTGAAATGTTCACTATATAAGGCATAATTCCAAGAATCATATATTCCTAAAGTTTTGCATGCCTAAACAATACAAAATCAATCACATGACTAAACGTTAATTGGTGAATTAAAAGATAAAATGAAGCCTACCCTTTCAAGCACAGCTTGAACAGAAGTTCCTTGGGAATAACCAACGTCTACGGGTGTATTACGACCCTCCAGACGTACTTGTATCAGACAAAGACTACAAACGGAACGAATAATAAGTAAGTTGAATTCCTGTATGTAATCTGAGATGTAGAAAGAAAACTTACCCTTCCATTTATGAATTTTTATAATATTGATCACCTAGAACAGCCTTCAAGGCAGAAAGGTACGAAAAAAATATTAAAATAAGCCTAAAAAAAAAATAGACATTCCAGCCCGAGATGGGTAAATATTAGAGAAAAAAAAGGGAAGAAATTGTTAAAAGAGTGTCTTGAAGTGTTAAATGCTACGTGTAATAGGAAGTAGGAAGAAATAAATTTCAAGGAGGTAAAGTTCAAAAAGCGAGGTAAAGAACTGATATTTACCAACAACGGTCAAATATTTAGAGTACAACTTGACGGATAATTTTTTTCAAAAAGAGTTAATACGGTCTAAGAAGTGACCAATCCGTTTATTTCAAATTTATTTATCGTATCGTTGCAAATGTAAACAAATAAGATTTGCTCTTTAATAACTATAACCAAAACCTGTGACGAAAAACCATGTCGCAGAAAATACCTTAATATTAATCATTGTAAAGTTTGTACGTAAAAGAAAATGCAAGATATTCAACTTACATATAGGCCCTGAGTTGCTGCATTTGGATTAGAACGTCTATCGAATTCAGACTACGTATTAACGCATCTTGTAAATCTTGTTATGTCTCATTGTTAACTGTTAATAGTAAAGTATTATCACGTGGTGTGTAGCAAAGAATTTGATTGGCCAATAAAATGCTTACGTCACCGGATATAACACGATAATAAAAATTTATGTAACAATATGAACGGGATGCAACGGTATGTAACATAGTAATTTAACGTTTAAATAATTTTAATTGTTTCATGTAAGCATGTCAGCATGAAAGTTATTAATACTTTGTGCAAAGTTTCACAGTATCAGGTTGACTGAAAGAGTGAGCTGCATCCTATCAAATTTGAGTTGTCCGGAGCTAAGCGGAGAACTTAATTTATGTAAGTTATTTTTTTTGACGAATTTAAATATAAACTATAGAGTTTTATTTGCTAATATTAGAATATTTATAATTTAGACGTTTCAAAAATAATATAGTTTTCGTCTAACATACAGTATGTATGTAAGTCAAAAACAGATCCACAAAAATATAGAATTTTGATAAGGTTTTGATGTTTTAACGTATTTTACGAAGATCATTCGTATTTTTGATATGAATGTACAACAACCGATAAAGCCAGGAATACTTTATCTTATCGTTCTTATCATTATCATTTGTAAAAGTTCGTCAAGCATTGACTTAAAATTAGGTATGCTCGACTTAATATTGCTTGTATATTTACTATTACAAAACCCGATTAATAAATAGAGTGATCAACATCCCTACTTAAAAAATGTTACAATGTAACATACGTGACATGTTTCTATCCTCTAAATTTCTTTCGGTTGCCTCCGAAATTACTCAAATGCGTTGTACATTAATAACGCGAGTGATCATAGTTGTACTGGATAAACCAACTGCAATCTTAAGCAAATTGGCTGATTTAATCATCCACATGCTAACGAAATATCAATGTTTTATTGTTTCTTAGAGCATCATGATTATGGTTGGGTGCACAGGATGCATGCTTTGGACTGAGGCATGTCCCTCTTGTTGTGCTTGCAATAACTAAGAGGTGGCTAGTTGTTTGAGGATTTTTCGATCACGGATTCTCTTTACACCGAACATGTATAGATAATTGGTATAACAATTTGACAAATAATATTTATGTGCGTGATTAAAAATGGTATTTATACGTATTAAAATAAAATCTTCTGTGCAATAATAATGATAAGAAATTTACTCGCATCTCGTTGACTTGCCGTTATTTGATCGACCAATAATCATGCTTATATTAAAGGTAAAATAAATTTAAAGAATTATAAAATAGTTTCACGATCTGGATTTGATGCAAAGAAACAAAAAATTTTAACTAGCTATTTTGAGGTTAGTTGTGACCCGAAACCCGAAACCTTCAAATTAGAATGTTTAAAAATTAATATTCATTTGCTATAAAGTAACCAAAAAACTCTTGGAATGCAATCTAATTATCATATGCTTTAAGTTTTAAAGTTTAAATCTAAACTTTTCAGTATAGTGTTCGAGTTTCGGAAAAGGTTTCGGTTTCGGGAATTTATATATAGTTTCGGGTTTCGGGTCACAACTATATCAGATATCGTACTATACCAAAACTTTTGTCACTGAATATGTTTAATTGAACTAAGATTAAATAAATTCAAAATAATTTTAAAAAGGGAATTATCATTCATCGCCAATGCATCGCTACCTCTAATTAACCAATCAAAATAAAGCCATGCTAACCAAATGATCGGTTGATCGATGAATCTCTACTTGCGAAAATCCATTAATACGTATTAAACCTAATTAAATTAAATTAATTAAATTCAAAATTTTGAATGGGTTATTTGCTTTAACAGTGGATAAGTTAGCGATTTCTGTAGTGAATGTGTTAATATCTCAACAGTGAATGGTTCGCAATTTAATAGTGAGTAGTTCGCGATTTTAGTAGTGAGTTAAAATCAGTTAAAAATACAATTTTTTTTAAACCCATATTTCTAAATATAGACTATGCTAGACCATTATATTTTTTTAAAAAATTTGTTTACGTACGTACGTACGTACGTACGTATTAGATTTACATATAATATATATATACTGTATATATATATATATATATATATAGTTTGTTATAAAAAAATTTATTAGATTTAGAATTAATATAGTTTGTTATAAAAAAATTTCTTAGATTTAGAATTAACTATCGTAAATTCTCAAAATAGAAGGCATGGGCGTTATCGTTATTTCGAAAGTCGGTTCCTAAAAATAGCATTTATAGATTCGAAATACGTAACGCCCATTGAAAAAAAACAATTGAATGTCAAAAAGTTCAACCAGGTTCCAAACCGGTCTAACCCAGTAGTCTTTCTTATATTAAAATCTCTGGGATTATGCAATGTCAACGACCATTGCATATTTGTGTAACGAATTCATTCGACACTATTTACCGCTGAAAAAAAAATGAGACTTCAAAGTTTATCATCATTTATTTACCGTATTCAGCCCAGATTTAAAAGCCTAAATTCGACAAAAATAAATGATAAAGCCTAAAGCCTTATTTTCCTTTGTTAACGGCTCTTGCGTATTCATATAACAGGTAACATATTTGTATATGATGATTATTTCTTACCATATAGCCTGTCGAGTTCTAATACTAGTTTAATATGAGTGCTGCCAAGTGAAAAGGGCACCTCCGTTTTTTAATTAAAAAACGGAGGTGCCCTTTTCCCTTGGCGGCACTCATATAAAATATAGATAATTTTTTAAAGTGATATACTGTATATCAAAGTTATTAATTTTATTAAGTCAGGGTTAGAGTTTTGAACTGGTTTTATTTTTTATATGATCAAACCGGTTTTTAATTGGGTTTTATCTATGAAAATTAAAACCGGTTCCAAACTCTAGTTATGGTATTGAGATAATTGAGATGGGAAAATAAAAACCAAACCTTATTTGATTAGTTAAAACTATAAAAATTTAATGTTCAATTATATAGAGTATTTGCAGTAAAAAAGATCTAAATATTCTATATCTGATATACTGTATTATACTATAGATAGCATTTAGACCTTTTTTACTACAAAGCTTTTATATAAATTTATATAAAAAATTTTATTTATATTGATTTTATTAATACCAAGCTAAGTTACAAAACAAATTGTTATATAATTTGGCAATTCTGTCTTTTTTATTTGTTATTCAAATTATAAAAAATTACAATAAATTTTTCTATTATAGCTTTTATCAAATACTTGTTTAAAAAAAACTTATTTGATATATATTTAAATACAGTTATCAGAAAATTTTAAAGCCAGATTATGATCAGTTGCAAACAGTTAATTAATTATAATTGATTGACTTTAAGTGATTATAACTGACAGTGTTATTGATAATAAATTTATATCAAAATTGATAATAATTATATAATGATAAAAATTGATATTAAATCTAATTTATTATAATTGATAGCAATGATTTATCAATTATAATTGATATAATTGATTATAATTAATAGCAATGATTTATATCAATTATAATCAATAAAAAATCTAATTGATTTTAATCAATAGTAGTAATTATAATCATTTAAAATTTTTAAATTTTATTTGATTATAATCTAATTTTAAAATTTTCTGATAGTATAATCTGTTAGATTAAATATAGTATAGGTTACTTCTTTTATAAATAAATAGCCAACAGCTT